GAAATGAAGAGACATAGTCAACTGCTAATTATAGCTGAGTCATAGACAATAGACTAATAAAATACTAGATAGAGCTTCACGATCCATAAATGACGCACTTTATTGAATAGTCTTTATCATATATTGATCAGATGGGCTTTTTTTCAGCTGCTCCCTTATTAACATGAGGTCACCAGAGCGAATGGCTCTGCATATTTAATTTGGCAGATTTTTACACCAGATGTCCTTCCTGACACAATCCCAACTCCCAAGGGATTTGTGTCTCCTCCTGGTCTCAAATCAGTATCAGTATCTAGTGTAAGCAACTAAACTTTGGAGCCGCATGAATTGATCTGATAATTCCTTTAAAAATGTTTTGAAGGCCACCACCAAAAGCAAAGACGAGGCCAAGCTGACAGTGATCAGCTACGGCTGCCTTTGGACACCTACTAGCAGTAACACTTTCTGTTATGTTTAAGGCCTGCTACCTAGAACACAATGAGTGGGTATCATCAGTAATTAGTAATGGTGATTACTAGGGCTTCCCTTGGAAAAACCCACGACCTGTTACAGTTTTTCTCGATTGCTTAAACACATTTCTTGAAACTATGCCTCATATTCACAAAACAGTAAACACAAATCCATAACATCTCACCCAATTTCCCAAACATCACATTGTCAGATCAAAATGAAGCTCTACACTCAAAACCATTCACACACAAAGCTTCAAAAAACACACACCAAAACATAGTCTTACACATTGGAGCAATAAATGTAAAACAATATTCCCAAAACTGGCAAGTTATGTTGCTTGTGGTTCTTCCCCTCAAAAATCTTATCACATGATTAACACAAAAAATGCAACCAATGCATATACAGTGGCACATTTTTATTCATATACAATATAGTAGGACATGCATACCAAAAACATTATTCCACCTCAGCATCCTGTCTGTGGTCTGGGTCAGGCCAGAGAATCTCATCCACATCACAGGCTATATTGGCCCTAGCTAGTCAGTTGGGGTAAAATCTTACAGTTTTTTCTGATTGCTTAAGCACATTTTTTGTAACTATTGGCTAATTTTGCAAAACTCTTCACACAAATAAAAAAACCTGTCACCCAATAATCAAAACATTGTAGTTCTCTTGCAAAAGCAAACACAGCTAGATTAACTCTTCACACCTTCGTAAAAATGGTGTTTCCGTATCAAACAGTACACACAAGCCATCATCTACTAAGCACACAATGTGCCAACTGCACACTGATGGTATGAATACAAAACACATCTGGCTTTTGCTTTCTCTGTGCACAAGGTAGGCTATGTCAGTTTGAGCTCATACTTCTGTCATAGATCCATAAGCATAGAGGGATCCAAACTTCAAGTACTGGTGTTTATTCAAACACATCAAAACAAACACAAGTGTTTATTTCCGAGTATAGGATTATTTGCAATTGCCATGACTATATGGGTTACTTGGTCTGCAGTGAACATGCTTCCCCTGCCCCCAGCATCTGGTCATCTAGCAATTCTGTAAAGTAACAATTTCAGTATTTTTACATCAATGGTATTGGTGTGTTTCTCATTGGCATACGGCAGTGCTACAAATCTTTGTGCGAAGTGACTGTACTAACCGATTCTCATTTCAAGATGTCCTTATGGTACTTGCTACAGTGTAGCGGCTCGAGTTAGGCTGGACCCGTTGGCCAGCTACCCTCAGGGTCATTCCACGGTTGATTACATGGTCCACTATTGTAGCTCTGATGTCATCAGCAATTCTATTTCTTACTCTTCCTACCCTTCCTCTCCCCCCTCCTCATCTTCCTCTCCCCCCTCCTCGTCTTCCTCTTGCTCCTCCTTGTCCTTGTCGTCCTCTTCATCCTACTTCTTCACCTCCACGTCCTCTTCCTCGGCCTCCTCTACTTCTCACTCTTTCTGCTCCCTCCATTGTACTCCGCACACACAGCTTACCTGTATTATAGTGCTTAGGCTGATTGCAAAGTGAACTAATTATCTAAAAAAGTTTTCACATGTGAAAGTGTGCCAGACAGTTGGCGAATTAGTGTTAATGATAGCCATACATGTGTATACTTTTGCTAGGAGTGTGTTGGAAATTTGGTAATTGAGTGTTGTGCAGTGAATTGTGCCTACAGTTTTGCAAAGTGTGTGTTACAAAGTTGCAAACTGAGTGCAAAGCAGTTTTTGTGCTTTTAGTTTTGCAAACTCAGTGAGTGGTTTTGCTATAAGTCTGAATAGTTTTAGAGATTGTGCTACAGGAATCACAGTTAGGGTTTAAGCATTCAGAAAAAACTGTAATCTTCTTGCATGTCTGATCCCCCCTGGCATGCATCTACTGATATGTCTAGGCAGCCGTCTTCCAAGGCCTGGAGGAGGTGAACATGGACATAAGGTTCTCTGTCGTACACCTTCCGCCAATATGCCGAAAATAACTCCTCTATCGGGTTTAGAAAGGGAGAGTATGCAGGCAGAAAGATGTTAGAAAACCTTGAGTTATTGGTAAACCAGTCATGTAACATAGCAGCGCGATGAAAGCTGACGTTATCCCAAACAGCAACGTAGTGAGGCTGCTCTGGCTGTGCTGGTTCCCTGTAGTCCAGCTGGAACATATGTTGTCTTAGACCATCAAGAATAACAAGGAGAAGCACAGTGTTATGGGGTCCTAGAATGGCATGCTGGTGAAGTACCCCTCGTTGGCTGATGGCTGCACACAGAGTGACATTCCCTCCAAGCTGACCAGGGACATTTACAATAGTCCAATGGCCAATTACGTTCCTCCACCTCCACCTACTCCTCCTGGGTGTCCTAGACCTCCTTCTCCTCCTCGACCTCTTCCTTTGCATGTCTTTGGATCCATTGTTTCAAACCTGAATGAGCTGACTTTGGCCCTTTTGTCTATCCATCAGAGTTTCTGATTGGTGTGTGATGCATTTTGACTCCTAGTGTTTCCCCTTGATTAATTGTGTGCTAATTGAGCTAAAGCTGTGCTGATGAGAGTTACAGTTTTTTTACAGTCGCTAACAAGCGCCTACCCATACTTCAGATACTTTTTCTAAACTCTTAACACAGAACCACACCTACAAAACACAATTGGCCAAATGGATAATATCCTTCCCAAAAATACACTCTGTTAAATATATACTAACTCCTCATTTCAAAATTAGAACACATCTTTCTCTGCACACACTAACTGTACAAAAACACTATAAATCTGACTCAAAATGAAATTAGTCTGTCAAAGAATAACACTTGACTTCACTTCACAAGGTACATGCAGTCAATCAAAGTACACCAGGTGTCAAAATACTGGCTATTATTGACATTACAAAAACTGCATAGACTTTTATGTTTCAGTTTTACAGGTATGTGCATGCGAAACATGCAATCCACCATTTTGACACCAGAAATGTCTTGGTTGGTAACTGCATGTCCACATGTACAGTGTTAAGATTCGCATTCGTTGTAAAGAAGAACAGCTGAGTAGGGAGTCAATGTGTCTTTACAGTTTTTTACAGCCGCTAGGACACATTTCTCAATACTTAGGTCACTTTTGCAAAACATCTTCACACAATCCTCCTAACTGACCGTCAGCTTGGCAAAGCAGTTCATTTCACATTCAAAATGCACTACAACTACCAAAACACTTCATTCAGGTCTCAAATAAACTCATTCTTCCAGAACACTAGCAGGTTAAGCGCACAACTTTGCCAAAACAAGTAAAAACTACACGGCTCAGGCTTGTAAAACAGACACTTTGTTAATTCATATATACGGAATGAATCAGACATCATCAAATCTAATTGTATTTATTCACTGAACCAATACAAATTGATAACATCAGATAACACAATAGTAAGCTATCAGCTCCTCATTTCAGTCTCATTCCTAGTCATAGGAACCCTAGAATCTGCTCCAGAATAAGTGAAATTGAAGTAACTTGTGATGTAATAAACACTTCGGTAAATGATTGTAATATGTTTCAAATAGTTTCAGCTTCTTAGTTTGCATTATGTTGCCTAGTTAACATTTTGAACAATAACCATAGTCCGTAAGATTTTGCAGGTGCTTGGAAAACTGAAATTTAGGAGATCAGACATTTGCACAATGATATGACCCAGAGCAAAACGTGTGTCCTGGTGGAGTTTCAAATGATTAAGAGGACCTGAGTGGAGGTTAATAGTGTTTTACATCTGATCAGAATATGAGAAGATGTAGATCTAAAATGACCTTCCCGCCTATCCCATACATACACAGTTACTTATGAAATATAACTCCTAGTCCGTCTTCAACGTAACTTAAGAAAACTTGGCATCATGTGTCACTGTGCCACTGACGTTGACATCCTGGTAAAATGGTGGACTGGTTTTACAAACTCTTAACAGTCATGCTTCGATGACCTAAACAAATGGAAATGGAACATAGGTCCTTACCCCCAGTTAGGAGGAATACATCTGTGGATACATCTGAACTCGATTAAAATTAGAGACTACACTATTCTGAACATCTAATCTGTCCACTAAATCTGACCAATGAAATTAGTTTCAAAAACAACATGTCATTCAAGTACTGCAGTCAATCAGTACAGTTCAAATCTGACATTATGCATACAAAATGCATGACTTTTATGTATCAGTTTTAAGGTGATTATGAAAATGCATCCACCATTAACAGAATTACTGTTAAGTAAACTGCATGTCCACATGTACAGTAATGTTCACATTCAAAAGCATTCCAGTAAAAAGCAAACAAGTTTCTGTGTCTTTACTGTTTACTACAGGAGGTACAGTAGAAACACGGTATGATAGGACAGAGAAAGTGTCACAGTATTGCTTACAGTGAACAAAATATCCATGGAACACACAAGAGCATTCTGAACAAAAAAACAACAGCAAAAAGCCAAGATAAAAAGGGGGGGAGGGGGGCTAAAAAAAGGCAAAAAATTGCATCTAATCTCTGCGATCTTCAGGGTTAGGCCACATGTTTTCATCAACATCACATCTGATGTTACCAAGTCGATGCACCTGGGATAAAACCGCCTGGTATGTCGGATCCACCCTTGGCAATCGTCAACTGTGATGTCCCTGGAGCCAGCATCCATGGCTTCAAGGAGGGACATCTGGTCATGTGGCTGATGGTCATAAACCTTCCACCCCATGCAGAAAAGAACTCCTCTATGGGGTTGAGGAAAGGTGAATAGGGTGGAAGGAAGAGACTCACCAGTCTTGGGTGGACTTCAAACCATGTTGTTATTGCTTGCGAGTGATGGAAAGCCACATTGTCCCAGGTAATTACAAAGGTCCTCATGTTTTCACCCTCCTGACCCTGCTCTGGAACCAGGCGCTGGTGGAGATCATTGAGAAAGGCAAGCAAGCGCTCTGTATTATAGGGTCCAACCTGACATTTGTGAAGGAGTAATCCTGCATTTGCAATTGCTGCACACATGGTAATGTTTGCCCCTCTCTGTCCTGGCACATCAACTGTGGCCCTTTTACCAATCACATTCCGTCCACGTCGACGCCTTTTGGCCAGATTGAATCCTGCCTCATCGATGTATATGAATTCATGAGGGGCCTGGTTGGCCTCCAATTCCATAACTCTCTGAAACAAAGTTTATGTAAGTCATGTTAGTACTGTATACCATACTGTACTGTAACCTAGTATTGTGTAGGTTACCTACTTGCAAAGTGCAAAGCTTATAGAACTGGACATTGGATTGAATATACACTGTACCTGGACATATTGTCGTCGTAGCTCCTTGACCCTCTCACTGTTCCTCTCAAAGGGAACAGTGTAGAGCTGCTTCATCCGCACTCTTGTTTGGACAATGTCCGCGAAATGGTTGTGAGGCTGATTCTATCGATATTGTCAAATATCTCATGGTCCGCCACAATTCTGGTTTGTATTTCACGCAGTTTTATTGCATTATTTGCAGTAACCATTTCCACAATGGCAAGCTCCTGATCATTACTGAGGAGCTTTCCTCTTCCCCCAGAGGGTGGAAGACGTTGCATTCTTTAGAAAGACAGACAATTCAACATATGCATTACTGTATGACCATATTGACATGTCAAGTGAGAATAGGAACAATCCATGTAAAATGCAATACTTACCTGTTGGTTTGTTGAAAGATGCGTATAATGGAGGCAACCGTTGACCGCCTCAAATTGGGCTGCACTCTTTCACCAGCCTCTCTTAGTGAAAGACCATGGTTGATTACATGGTCAATGATAGTGGCACGGATTTCATCACTGACTACTGTTCTTGCAGCCCTTGGAATGCCACCACCACGCATTCTTACACCTCTACCTTGCCCTCTCCTTGGGCCTGCTCTTCTCCCTGGGCCCCTTGCTCTTACTCTTCCTCGACCAGACATTACAGTGTTTGTCTTTTTTTTGTTTCCAAAAACATCACTCCTCAAGGTCTTGCCTTATAAACCCCACTGAGTCTAAGCCAGAATGGAAGAAGCTGTGGTTGGCCCAATTTACCCAACATAAATCAGCTGTGTGTCAATTATTCAATTGTTTGTTTATTATCAGCTGAGATATATTTTTGATATTGATATTGTTTTTGTACTGATATCATTGCAGAAGCAGAGGTTTTTATACTGTATCTACGGTTTGGAATATTGTTTTTGCTATTGTGGGATGTTGTGTGTTAACATTCGTAGATACTACAAAAACAGTCCATATTTTGTTGGGAGGTATAGCTTGTCTGTTAAGAAAATGTAAGCATTGTGGAAATGTGTTCACTGACTGCATATTGGGTGAACACGACATGAAATGTGTGAATGGTATGGCCACAACAGACCGATCGCTGTGCTAATTGTGTTTAGAGTTTTGCAAATGTGACAACTGTTTGGACAAACGCTTGTTAGCGACTGTAAAAAACTGTAATATTATTGACTGCTAGTGCTTTCTAAGTGACCACATGGTGTCAGCACTGACAAATGAAGGGATTAGTGTGTAGAGTTTTGCAGTAACAGTTCACCACATCTGACTCACGTGGTAAAGCAGGGGCATGGTGTTTATAGCTCAGGGAAATGGGTGTGCTTTTTTGGAAAGTGGCATTATGAAAACTGAGTTCACAAGATTGTTTATAGTGTTTAAGCAATCGAGAAAAACTCTAATCAAACAACATTGTTAGGGATATATATTGAGGTGCCAAACCTGGTCATTAAGAGTAGCACCAGGCTACACCAGCACTTTTAATATGGAAGTCTTTTGGGATTGGCTTGCTTTTGGAACCAGCCTCAAGTGGCCAGAGAGGGAACTGGCAGGGACACTGTTTTCATTGCCATTTGGAATCTAAAGTGCATATTAAAATATCCATACTTGTTGTAATTTCAACAAATCAAATTTGCAAAAACAGCTGTAATTTGATCTTTAGTCCAGCAGTTATGAATTATATAATACTGTATAATGTGAGACATTAAAAGGAGAGTTTCCCTGCCAGCCAATCTCAAGAGCTGCTGGAAAATGAAGAAAAGTTTTTAATTAAGAAAAAGCTCCAAGAAGGAGGCACAGGGCTAGGCACTGACAGTCAGCTCTTAGAATAATTTTCATTGTCCATTAATCTGTCAATATTTTTATGATCAAAGGGGACATCTTCAAATACTCCATTTGTAATAGTATTAAACAAAGGGACTGTAAATCACTTCACTTTAGAAACTGAAACTAACACATGTGACATACATAGACAGCATCAAACATTGTTTTTTTTGTGACTTTGTTATTTATGGTTCCGGTTGAAAAAATAAACCCCCAGTCCTTCTGTCAAATGAAACCCTTTTTGTTTCATGTAGAATCATCAGGCTAAAAGCAAAGCTTGTTATTCTTATTGTAGCAAAGATGACATTCTAGAAATGCAGGGCTTGTATTTAACAACAACTGTATTCACATATGCTGAGGAGTCGGTTTGACTTGCAGTCATAGTGAGTGGGTAATGTGAAATAAAATGATGTTATTATAGCCATCTATGCTGTAATTATGACCTTTTTATTTTAACTTAAATGTACTGCAGGTATGAATACTCTAAAATGATCCAAGCATATCTGGGTTTAGTCACACAGGAAAATGCCCGGAGGACTGTCAAGAAAATAATCACTCCTTAATATTCAACTCCTTAATGCTGTCTTTCTCATAAGTCACATTTGGCTGTAGGTAATCTCTCTTCCAGAGAGTTTATTTAGGCTCATTCTAACCTCAAATCAACTGCAGAAATTAAACATTTACACCTGAATTGCACCCACATGGACTTTCTGGAGTGATATGAGCTCACTATAAATTATTTCATTAAATTAATGTTGTTAAAGTTGAAGGTGGATATTTATATGAAGAGGCAAGGGGCCCAAGTGATAGGAGAGGCTACAGTGTTGATTCAAATAAAGTTTTATATGCTCTAGTTTTTAAGAACTGCCTTAGATATAATGTTTATTACCAACCTATAGCTGAACACAATGTCAGTGTTTGTTCTGTTTGTCAGTATGAGTTATGTTACTGCTGAAAACTGGTTGGAAACAATGAATGGTCTACAATAAGACAAACGTTGAATTCAGATCAAGGCATGAAATAATTATGGCTTCTTGCTGGTTTAGCTCGCTGGGTTGAGCTGGTGACCCATTTCTGCAAGGCCAACACAGAGACCTGGGTTAGAATCCACCCTGAAGCCTTTTACTGCATGTCTTTCTTTCAGCTTTCTAGTCTTTGTTCCTCTGTCCTAAAGGCTAAAAAAAAACCAAACAATTATGTCTTCTCATAGCTGCTGCTGGGTATTAACCACAATGTTTTCTTTGGTAGTAATGTGTGGCATGCTTGATTACAGTATGTTGCTCCCAACTTGTTTTTCAAAACAAGAAAAAGTAGTGCCACTAACACTAAAAGACAGTTTGAGGAAAATGTTGACTGGCACATGGCAAATGCTAAAATGAAATTATGTGACATCCTGGGATGAAAATATATCCGCAGTTCATGCATACAGACCCACCAAAAATAGGACAACTCTACCATTCATAAAAATGAAAGACTGATATGAAAGAAAGTTAAATTGCCAACCCAAAGGCAACCAGTGAATCTTGCTTTGATTCCCTCTGGAAACAGAAGCAGAACTGTTAGAAATGAGGTACGACAGATTTATGAACTGCATGTTTTGCGAAACTAAAGAATTCTGTAATCAAATGTATCATCAACAAAGCACTTTAAAAAAAAAGGATGATGACTCTAATAGTAACACTTATGTAACTACAAAGTTGATTTTGATAAATCAGTTAAGAATCACATAAGATATGGATGCTGGTTAGAATGCTAACATTATCTGGGTAGATTGTGCTAACAAGCACAGTTGAATTTATAAATGATTTCAAGAACTAACAAGAAAATCCAACCTGTCAGTTGGTCAGATCAACTCAGAGAAAGACTAAAGTCGATAGGATTCATCCTCAGCAACAACATGTATACTGAGGCACGATGATCCTTCACATTGCTGTAGCAAAAAAAAATCAAAAACAAACAAAATTAACAAAATGCCATGAGAGCAACAGTGGAAAAGTTGATCTGACAGTGAACATTCCTGGAAACATGTTGGTTGTGTGACTAAAAATATACTTAAAGCTGGATATATATGACAAAGGGTTGAGAAGGGGATTTGTCAGAATGTATCATTTGGCATGCGGTTCCACTTTTATTCATGTCACCTTATTTAAAGTGCAAAAGACGCAAAAATGTTAGAGATATATCTTTCTATTTTGTATTTGTTGAAAAAAAAAAGAATGGATAACATTAGGGTCTATCCTCTGAAAGAGAGAAGGAATAAATTGTGATTTTTTTAGGAACTGATAACACAGGACACTGTCACAAAATATCCTTTTTTTTTTAAAATAAATAGTAACCACTGCTAAGTTATTACCCAATAATGTTTTATATTGTTACTTTAGGTACCTGTACCTTTGAAATGTTTTCATAAATATTTGAAGATATAAATGTTATACCATCATGTAAAATATGCTTTGCTAAAACTTTAATCTACTGAAACATTAATTAAAAAGTGCACAAAAGCACTTGTGTAACATTATTCAGTAGTAACTCTTGGAGACTTAGAGATTTGTTAATCATCTGTCTCTCGGCCTCACATTTTGTGCCTCTGACAAAGTCATTTCTACTCACTGATGCCATAATGTCATTCAGGAGAGTTGCTTAGTCACTTATGATGTCATAATAGAAGCAATGATTGATTTTTGCCATAGAGTCATAGATGCTGTAATTGGTCCCAAGAATAAATCTCCAAAGTGGGCTCATTAATTAAGACGAAGCGAAATGACTCAGCTAGAATTTAATGGCTTAGCGAATTAAGCTCCAAAGAACAGTTGAATACATTTTGAATACTTGAAGAGCATTGATTTATCTCAACTTCATATAGGTGACACATTTGCTGTTGTAGCAGTTTAAGTGTCTGACAAAAGAAACAAACACACTTAAATCATCTGAATTCTAAAAAGAGACTCCAGGGGCGGATCTAGAGAGATTAGATTGGCGCAGAAATCAAATAGGGTGGCAAAATCAAAACCATTTCTTTACACATACATACATACGTTTTGTAATCTGCATTATATATTATTATAAAGTAAATATACACATGTTTCATACAAACATAGTCTGTAACTTTTTTGTTTTCTTTAGCCCACATAATTAAACATTTCAAATACATGAAACATGAATTTTGATTTCATGTACTGTATGTAGCTTAATAAGTATAAAATCTAGAAAGCTACATGTCATGAGGTGGTTCAGTTATAAATACAAGTCTAACTTAAGTTT